GACTGGTTTCACAATGCGGTTTCCTTTTAGCCCTCCTGGAGCAGCCGGGGTGTATAATGACGTATTTTGGCTGTGATTGAGTGTTTTTCTTGAACACGAGGGAACTTACACTGATGGGACAGTGAAAGAAGTCGAATGATCCTCTCTTCACTGAATAAAAACAAGGTCTAGGTGTATGTATGTAGAAATAGAAAGCAGAAATTGAGTTGTAGCTCCTTGTGAGAGCTTTATGAAGTGTGATTTGGTGCACTAGAAGTTGGTGGTGTTGTTGAGTCTGCTGGCTTTGTTGCTGCAGCCTGTGCTAAGCCGCTCCTTGGTGTAATTTTGACTTTGAAAGTAGCCCATTGCCTCCCTGCCAACAAAATAGCCTTGGGATAGCTTGGCGTTCTCTCTTTGTGTTTTGTTTTTAATTTTATATTTCTTTTTTTTCTTTCTTTCTTTCTTCTCTCCTACACTCTCTCTCTCTCTCTCTCTCGTTGTCACTCCCATCCTCTCTCTTTCATTCCCGGGCTCAGTCTCTTTGTTTCTCTTTCTATAGCATCCTCTCACAGTGTTTGTTTTTCCCTGCCAACCCCCCCAACTCTCAGATCCACTCTTGTCTTGCGTGTCATTCCCTCTCCCTCCTCTATCTCTCTTTCCCTCCCTCTCTTTAAAAGCAGCTTAATTCTATCATCTTACAGTTGGACAGCAGTAATTACATTTATGACACAAATCCTGCTACTCACAGCAAAATACTTTGTGTGTGCGAGAGACAAGTATGTGGATGCATGCTCATCAGCTGGTGTCTGTGTACTTGAAGTTATATATCTGTTTGTGTGTCACACCACTAAGCTATTTATAATACTATTTATTTCATCTTACTACCCAACCCTCTGGGGAAAAAAAGACAAGTTTGGACTCGGAGGTCACCGTCTGTGTATATACTGTGTGCTCCTCTGGATTACACTTCTTAAACTGACTGCATTGAGTGAACCTTGACCTCCTTACTCTGAATAAATGAGAAACATCACACGCATATTTCATATGGAGTGTATTAATCTACAGTTTGCGTTGCGCAAATAAACACAGATGGGTACAAATCATGTCTTTTGAGCCTAAATGCCGGATTATGAATTCATTGTAACTGAAAGGAAAATGTCAAATGGTGGTTTAACTTTGAGGGCGCTTGTGTTTTGAGAAATGTTGTTGGCAACTGCAAACGCGTTGGCTTGAGGAGTTTCAGGAGTTTGATTAGAGTGTGAATAAAAGGAAAATATATTAAAACTCCTGGACAATTCATGTCAAGTTCATTCATGCCTTTGGTGGCTTTGGTTCACGTTAATGTCAGTTCTAATCCACGGCCCTTAGACTTTTCAGCAGTGGATTATAAAAGATTTGTTTTTGCAAACGGTATGTCTCCTAAAAAAATGTATTTGTATATTTGATTGAAGACTTTGATGTGCTCTTTGGCCAAGGATCTGAGTTTTTGCTGTACTTTGCTTCAAGCTAGTGGCCAAGGGTACACAGTCCTATTAAGATTCGGGAAATTATAATTATAATGGGTTACCGGTGGTCATAATATATACAGGTGCTTCCATGCAGATGTATACATATTAAAATGAAGCAGTCCTATCAGAAATGATACACACCGATTAGCCATAACATTATGACCACTGACAGGGGAAGTGAATAACACTGATTATCTCATTACCATGGCACCTGTGGGTGGGCGGGATATATTGGGCAGCAAGTGTCCTCGTAGTTGATATGGTAGAGGCAGGTGTAAGTATTTAAGTGACTTTGACAGGGGCCAGATTGTGATGGTTAGCAGACTGGGTGAGAGCATCTTAAAAAATGGTCTGTAGTAGTCATTACCCATCAAAGGTGGTCCAACGAAGGAAATGCAGTGAGCCGGCTACAGGGTCCTGGTCAAGGCTCATTGATGCATGTGGGGAGCGAAGGCTGGCTGTGTGGTCCGACCCAAGCGACAAGCTACTGCAGGTCAAATTGTTGAAAAAGTTTATGCTGTGCATACACAATGAAGTCCATGCGTCGACGGGTCAGGGCTGTTTTGGCGGCAAATGGGAGATCTAGATTGTGACCAGCAGGTGGTCATAATGTTATGGCTGATAGGTGTATCCGAAAATGCGAGCAGACCCTGTTGACCTTAATTTTTGATCAAAATGTCTAGAAGAGTTTGACCTGAGTGACACATTACTTATTACAGAACCTTTAGGCAATGGCCTGCACATATAGCCAAAAGTGACACAGTAAGTCAGTAATGTGCTGACATGTCAAAACAAATATAATTTTACTTTGTTTCAAGGTAACATTGCACAGCAAATTATGAGGGCTGTAACACTGCCTGTGTGCTGAGGTAGATCGTAGGCTTGGATTTGATTGTATTGTGTTGACTTTTGACATGCAGTGGGAGGCAAGTTTCATGTTGATGAATAATATTGTGTTTTTCACTGGTAGCCCATAGTAACAATGTCCTCCTGTTTTTAAATATATCTTGAGCATAAAGAAAGTTCTCATTATTGATTTTGGGTTTTAAGTCTAATAAACACTTGCAATAGTGTAAATGCTGTAGTATCACTGTCATTTAAATCAAATATTATATTGATATATTTGTTATATTGATATTTCTTCTAAATCACGTACACTTGCAAAGTGTTGAGAGTTTGGAAGTTACATCCCTGCCATTGTGTAGAATTAATCTAGACTTCATACTTGCATAGTGGGCGGGAAATGGCTTGTTGTGACAGAGCAATATCATTTCTCGTTACAGTATGTGCTACTTAGAAGAAAAGTTGTGTTATTTTCTGTAGATGAGTATCTGTTCAGCTGTGTCAAAACAGAATCATATTTCAATGTAGATAAATCACATATCGCTCGTATAATTCAGTATCCATCTCAATGTCATGTGGACTGTGTTTATGGATGGGAGTGTCACGTTATGGCCCTTGTCCATCTCCTCTGCTAGCAGCCGACTTACATTATGCATGTGCATACATTCAGGGCGTGTTATTACTCTTGGGGTGTGTGTGTTTTGTTAATGGCTGTTTAAATAGATGTGGAAGTCACATCAGCCCTCTCATCTCCTCTGCTTCCAGAAAAAAAACACACAAAGCCCCCCCCCCCGCACACACACACAGAGCGGTCGTGTGTATAGGGAATCATTAGCTAAAGTGATGCAGGTTTAGCTATCATGAATCACAGTGGCATCATATCGACAAGCCAGAGCCAGCAAGGAATCCAAAATGTGTGTGTATGTGTGTGTAAGGATAACCAGTATTTTGAGCTGGCAGCAAGCCCAGCCTTCCTCCCTTCTTCCCCATTTTTCTCTGTCTTCCCCTCTGCCACCATGGTATTCCCCAGAGGAAACTTAATTTGCTCTCTCCCTGTCGTTGTTCCTCCCGTCCCTTTTCTCCCTATCTTGCCCACCATCAGTGTTTCCCTGTTTCGGCAAACCAAAGTGGAAGCAAACATTACCGTCTCTCTCTCTGTCCCCCTCTTTTTGTTTTACAATCAGCAATGCTCACAGGTGGTGGGAACATCACGGTGGGCTTGAGGCAAAAACTCGGTCCAACTTCAGCACTTAGCATGTCATCAGCTTTTGCCGGGTTTCTGCAGCAGGAGAGCAACAATTGCTAGATAGTTTTCTTAAAGCAGAAAATGCAAAGTCACCATGACACGCTTTTTGTGGACTTGCTGTGAAATTGTGACTCTTCACGACTTACCTTCACAAGAAGTCTAATCTTTACCTTACTCTCCCTTGAATACGTCCACCATTTCTCTCCTCTTTGTCACACTGCCTGCTGGATCCCTCCCTTCCTCAGTAATATCTCTCGCGGTATACTTGTGGTGATTGATGGCGAACCAGTAACAGTGAAGCAGATCTCGCATCCATCACAAACTCAGCAACAGCTTGGTTAACTGCATCACTGTTTTTTCCTGGCTCTGCTCTCCAGAGTTCAGCCATGTCGCAGTCCTTCAGGCTCCTAGCCAGTGGTCTCCACAGGCTTTTTGAACCAATCAGAGCATGCCACAGCAGGACTGTTTCACAGCCTGATCAAACCTAGGCAAAATTGGACTTCCTACTGTATACATGCTTAACAGATTGATTGTTTTTTTTAAATCAGCAGTAGATCTGATATCAGTAACACATTCATAGCCATTTTGGTAGGATTATTATCAGGTCAAAAGCTGTCTCGCGAGTCTCAGACTATTGACATTTTCCACACACCAAAAGTAATTTTTCTCACCCAGTGAAAAACAGATGTATAATTGATCACGTCGACACCGGCATTCGCCATGATAGAAATCAAGTGAACCCGCTCTTGAGCTGTCCAGAGACTCGTGACAAGTGGTAACGGGGCTGGTAGAGTTGTGCAATCTAAAAAATGAAGCACAGATTTCTCTGTTTGGGTCTGTGAGTTGCACTTCATTGAAGGTGCTGAAGTTACAGTGTGTGGATTTGTGGTGTGGATTTTCGTTTTCCAAACTGTCTGAAGTAGATAACATTACTACTAGAGGAGCAATATCATAATGCACAGCTGAGTATAGGGCTGGTAGAATTCTGATTAAATGATGATGTTGGTAATATTACAACTTTTTTCTCATCATATCAGAGAACACAGACATGTGGGAGGGATTTTGAAAGTGCAGAAAGTTTTGAACATGAGCAGAAAACCTGCTGAAATACAGGAGCTATAAAAGTCCATGAGTTTATTACTGAATTAAAATGAATTCATTTCTCATTGAGTTTGTAAAGACACAAAAGAGGGAAGACTAAATCATGCCTGCACGTGTGTTGACTCAGCAGAGATGATCTTACATGAGAAAAATTGATCTGCAGGAGAAAATACATATTTAAAAGCAACACAGAGAACCTTCCTACATTAGATTCTGTTGAACTCTGGCTGCATGAGTTAGGTAACTAATCAGGCTGAGAGAAACATGTATCTCACCCTTTGTGTACCTCTCTGTTTCCCTGTGTCTCTCTCTGCCCCCCCCAGCTCCATCAACTCCTGTAGAACTCGGACCTACCCTCGGCTTGAAGAAGTCCAGTTCGTTGGAGAGCCTCCAGACGGCCATGTCAGAGGTTAACAGAAAAAACGAATTCCTCCCATTCCACCGCCCTCGCCAAAATATGGTCAGGGGAAGAGGCTGCAACGAGAGCTTCAGAGCAGCTATTGATAAATCCTATGATGGGCCACCTGAAGATGATGATGGTAAGGGATGAAGAGGGTGTCCGTGTGTTAAGTCGGGGATATTTGTGTCTGTTTTTTTGTGATTTATTTATTTATTTATTAGTTTACATATATTCAATTCCTCTACACGGATTTTGTTTACATGGCAATTCATGCGTGCTTGGCTTACTTCTGTGTTTATTGTGTTCCCCAATAACAGCTACCAGTAAGCTCAGCACGTTTTAAGTCTATAGTTGTCAATTCTGATCAGTTTACGAAGTAACAACCCAGGACTTTTGCCAGCAAGGCAATTAGGGCATGGCCAGAAGAACACCGTGCCTCAAAGTGTCAACACATACGAAGCAAAGCAGCAGCATTACCTTACTATATAGGATAGCTTTAAATATTTATCCAGGAACTAAATGGTAGCTGCTTGGTTTGTTTCACTGGAAGGTGCGTTTCAATTCCCAGCTGTGTTATTAGCAGCAAACTCTTATCAGTCACCACCAGAGTAATGAGATGGGCTGTTTCAGATCACTAAACTCACACAGGATAGGACTAATAAGGCATGCCAACACCACACACACGCAGTGGCCACATCTGTCACCATCTTTCTAAATGCTCAACCCTTTGGGAGCTGCTGTTAATTGACAGAGAACAGTTCTCTGAAGTGACAATCTCTCGCTTTCTTTCTTTTTGTTATTTTTCTGTGTTTCTCTCTCTACATTTGTACACTTTAGCTTGGGCTTTATTCCAGTATGCCCATAAACTAATATCTTTCAGTTTTTGCGAGTAGGATTTTAGCAGTTTTACCTTTGGACCACCGGGGATTAGGGATGCAAATATTTCTAACATTTTTCAAGAACACAGTGAATATTTAATCAGGGTTCAAGTGTAGCTGATGCATTGTGTGGGGTTCTGCATTGAATCCAGATAATACCACAGTGCTTAACAGTTTCCAGTGAAGTTAGTTGTCAAGAGGACTATTCAACAGAGACTCATTGGCTTTGATGTGTCATGTCAGCTGGGGTGGATTATAGTGCTGAATAGATGTTTTCACATTCCACATGTGTTACCTTACTTATGTTTAATTTGTATGCCATTCTTTTTTTCTTTGTTTTATTTATATGTCTTATGTGTCCTTCATTAAACATGAGAATAAATTACTTCTGATAGATTGCTGCAATCCACATCCAGTTTTAACCCAACCAATCTGATTGATTCACCAAACTGGGTCAGAACAGTGGTCTGCACATAAATACACTGCTCAAAAAAATAAAGGGAACACTTAAACAACACAATGTAACTCGAAGTTAATCACACTGAAATCAAACTTTGAACTTAGGAAGCAACACTGATTGACAATCAGTTTCACATGCTGTTGTGCAAATGGAATAGACAACAGCTGGAAATTATAAGCAATTAGCAAGACACCCCCAATAAAGGAGTGGTTCTGCAGGTGGTGACCACAGACCACTTCTCAGTTCCTATGCTTCCTGGCTGATGTTTCAGTCACTTTTGAATGCTGGCGGTGCTTTCACTCTAGTGGTAGCATGAGACGGAGTCTACAACCCACACAAGTGGCTCAGGTAGTGCAGCTCATCCAGGATGGCACATCAATGCGAGCTGTGGCAAGAAGGTTTGCTGTGTCTGTTGGTGTAGTGTCCAGAGCATGGAGGCGCTACCAGGAGACAGGCCAGTACATCAGGAGACGTGGAGGAGGCCGTAGGAGGGCAACAACCCAGCAGCAGGACCGCTACCTCCGCCTTTGTGCAAGGAGGAGCGGGAGGAGCACTGCCAGAGCCCAGCAAAATGACCTCCAGCAGGCCACAAATGTGCATGTGTCTGCTCAAACGGTCAGAAACAGACTCCATGAGGGTGGTCCGAGGGCCCGACGTCCACAGGTGGGGGTTGTGCTTACAGCCCAACACCGTGCAGGATGTTTGGCATTTGCCAGAGAACACCAAGATTGGCAAATTCGCCACTGGCGCCCTGTGCTCTTCACAGATGAAAGCAGGTTCACACTGAGCACATGTGACAGACGTGACAGAGTCTGGAGACGCCGTGGAGAACGTTCTGCTGCCTGCAACATCCTCCAGCGTGACCGGTTTGGCGGTGGGTCAGTAATGGTGTGGGGTGGCATTTCTTTGGGGGGCCGCACAGCCCTCCATGTGCTCGCCAGAGGTAGCCTGACTGCCATTAGGTACCGAGATGAGATCCTCAGACCCCTTGTGAGACCATATGCTGGTGCGGTTGGCCCTGGGTTCCTCCTAATGCAAGACAATGCTAGACCTCATGTGGCTGGAGTGTGTCAGCAGTTCCTGCAAGTGGAAGGCATTGATGCTATGGACCGGCCCGCCCGTTCCCCAGACCTGAATCCAATTGAGCACATCTGGGACATCATGTCTCGCTCCATCCACCAACGCCACGTTGCACCACAGACTGTCCAGGAGTTGGCAGATGCTTTAGTCCAGGTCTGGGAGGAGATCCCTCAGGAGACCATCCGCCACCTCATCAGGAGCCCAGGCGTTGTAGGGAGGTCATACAGGCACGTGGAAGCCACACACACTACTGAGCCTCATTTTGACTTGTTTTAAGGACATTACATCAAAGTTGGATCGGCCTGTAGTGTGGTTTTCCACTTTGATTTTGAGTGTGACTCCAAATCCAGACCTCCATGGGTTGATAATTTGATTTCCATTGATAATTTTTGTGTGATTTTGTTGTCAGCACATTCAATAATGTAAAGAAAGGAGTATTTAATGAGATTATTTCATTCATTCAGATCTAGGATGTGTTATTTTAGTGTTCCCTTTATTTTTTTTGAGCAGTGTATATGTGAATCGGGTCTGGGGTTTTCCTGACTTTGCAGTTTGTTTTTTAAGATCAAATTTTATGAGAGAAAATTAGAGTATTTTTGAATGAGGCTTGCTGTTTTTCATAATTAGTTAATACTTTTTAAATATAAATATAGTGGTTTATGCACACGCACGCACACACAATATAAGGTTGACTATGACTTTCTCTTTAAGGGAAGACTAACTAGGTCCGGACAAGCATGAAGCCGTGCATTTTCAGACACACACACACGCAATTATAATTCCATTTTGTTGCTAGACAGTCCCTGTAATTAAGGCTGAAGTGAATATCCACACAAAGTAAAATCTCAATTGAAGTGACTAATTTAGTTTGGTTATCTCACACAATCTGACAAGTGGTCTGTGTGTTTGTGTCATTGAAATAAAATCATCATCATTGATCATTGAAATTCAAGGCCAGGCCTCCAGTCTGTCCAAGAAGTAATGAGGCGTCACAGTTTACGCTTTGAACATTTTTGCTTTCTTATTTGTAAGGGTTAATTAATTCACTGTAAAGTTAATAAATCTGCCATCGAGATGTCAAGCAGAGAAAGTTTAGCGTTTGGTGCCTGTGTGTATGTGGACTGTTCATTTGTGGATTTGTACATTGTTGTTTTGTTTTGTTTTGTTTGTGTGTGCTTGTGTTTGTGTGATATGTGGTCTTTACTGCATTGTGTTACTTGATTTTACTGCTATAATGAGTCACTCTGGCAAAGAGCATTAGCTAAATACTTCCTGTTAACTTGAAAATTCGAAGGAGTCAGTGATTATTATGAAGACTCACTGATACAAAGTAATGATTATCTGATGCTTTTGTTTGTCTCAAACAAACAGCAAAAATAGTCATTTTGTACATGTAAATGGTTATTGAGTGTTTAATATTAGCTGTTCATCAAGCCAGTTGTTTGATGAATTGCTGGTAAACATGGTGAGATTAACCCATTCAGATCCTCCATATAGATCATTTTCAAACTATAAATACGCATACTGGGCTTGTGACATGAGTTATTCCAGCAGGCAAGCAATTTGTAAATACATAAAAGTGGAATTGGTCAGTTTTACGAGAGTAGCTATGTTAAATCAGGAGTTAAATGAGAAATCTTTCAGTCTAGGTTTAGCACTTCCATAAAGCATCTTATTGGTAATCTAATTATACAAAGAGTCCTCCATCTACAGTTGATTACGTTTATCATTTTGAGTCTTGAGTGTAAGCATTTAGTGTCATTAATTAATATCTAGCCAAATAATGGAAGTCGATGATTTTCTATTAGTACTGCTTTTGCTACTCTTTAAAACACTGTTCTCCACCCACTCCCTCTAATCCGCATCCTTCTCCTTTTCTTCCTGTATTTCGCTGTAGATGATGGTTCAGAGCCAAGTTCAGGCCGGGACACCCCTGCAAGTAGTTCATCCCGCCAGGGAGCGGGGGATCGGTTAGAGGAGAAAGGCAAAAAAGACAAGAAAAAGAAAGCAAAAACAAAGAAGAAGGAAAAGAACAAGGGGAAAGGGAAAGAGAAAGAGAAAAAGAAAGCAGAGGAGCTTGAGGAGACGGAGAAGAAGAGCAAGAAAATAGGCTTTGGCCTGCTGAGGTATGTAACTGTGTGCGTGAGAGAGAGAGAGAGAGAGAGAGAGAGAGGTAGAGATGGTTATTGGTTTTAAACTGTTTTAAACTTAAGCGTGCATTTGTAATCATATCCCTTTTTGTGTGTTTATCCATGTGTGTGTGTCCATGTGTGTGTACTGGACGACACAGTTCCTACACTACCTGATAAAATCTCTTCTGTCCAGCATGTGATGTTTCAAAACATTTTCAGATCACGCGTTAGTGTGAGTTTGAGAGGAATTTTGTAAGTGTGTTTGGCGTCAGGTGGAATCAGTCAGAATATCACAATGTATTTGTTACTTACGTTGTAACATATGTCTTAATCTTAATTTGGTTGATGTGACAATGTCTTTATTTATTGTCAGAAAATCAGATTAATGGAGTTTGTCATTCACAAATGCACGTACATTTTCTACTATCAATAGGGGCACATACGTAAATTAGCACAATCTCTGCACACCTTGTGCATTCATACGATATCAGACAAAAATAGCCTTTAAACATGAACACTGAAGTCTTTCTGAAACGCTATCACATGCTCACAGGCACACAAAGACCACTCTAAGACTGGTGCCCCACTTTCCGTAAGAGGTGCTGAAAATTATCTGCCAGAACTATTTCATGTGATTAACTGTAACACCATATCTCTCCTTGTGAATGGGACATAGGTAGACACACAGCATGAATGGGTCCGAGTGTTTCAGTGAACAATTTGTACTTTCTACCTAATATTTTCTGAAATGGGATTTCACATGACCATTACATAGATACAGATCTTAGGAAAAGCACTTGCATGCAATTTAATCTACAAAATACTGCGGCAGCCTTTTCAAAATACACTTACTTAAAAGTAGTCTGTGTGAACCAGAAGACAGAAAAACATTTCCAGATTTCAAATTCAGATTTTATCACTATGATTATCAGAATTGCATGTTATTTAAAGTGAAATATTAGGCAATTAGACTAATATGCACTAATTTTACTTTGAATGTACTTTTTCTTCACCTCTTCTCTACCTTGTTTTCCTCATTCTCACTTCAGTCGTGCTTTCGCTCTCACGTACCTATAGTGTTTAGTCAAATACAGACATTTTCTTATGCTGAGCAGAAATGTTGCTTTTATGATGTTAAAATGATGTCTTTGTCAAGCACTTGAGTGTGTAAATGGCTCCTCTGACCTAAGTCAGTTCATAATTATGTCAAATCAATTGTATGCACAAGGAAGGCCATTACAGTGGGTGGGGGTGGATATGAATAGGTATGTGATGTGTAGTGTACAGTATGTTCCGTCATTCTTCACCCTGTAGTTTTAGTTTAATGTCAGATCTACGTACCTGCTTATCTACCTGCCTCCATCTTTCTCAACTCCCCCCTGATGTATAAACCACTTCAACTTAGCAGAGCACAATATGCAACTTTGAGATGAATAAAAAAATATGAGAGATAGAGAAATGCGTGTCCCGCACTGCATTCTAAGATCATATAAATAATAAGTTATTATCTCATTCTTCATCTAATAACATGTGTTCTGTCCCTTTTTTTTGAGTCTAATTCACCGCTGCCGTAAATAAAGACATCTGTAAATGTGCATTCGTTATGATTACATTACTTATGATCAAAAACTAGCAAGTTGACAACTTTGCCAACATTTCAACAACACAATAAATAGCAAACCAGCTAATAACTTATTACTTGTCTAAGCGAAAGAATGACCTCTCAGTAGACAACAAACGAGATTTATAGCCAGAAGGTAAACCTCTGGCTGATTTTTCTGAAGTTGACAACTATGCTACAATAATACAAGACACAGCACGCTATTACTTAGTAGTCCAAGTGATGGTTAAGGGGCCAGTTTTTAGTTTGATGTTATGGTGGATAGATTCCGTGGCTGGAATGACCAAGAGTTCAGTCTTACATAGTGCCATAACCGAGTGTTTTGGCCCGGAGCGACCATGAGAGAGACGCCATTCACCCTATTACGAGTCAGTGTACCAAATGATTTTGAAGTTTTTATTGTAAAATAAAAATACAACTTACTTACTTGTTTCTTTAAATGTGAAAATCTATCAGTTGATTTGCTATGAGGAGTGTGAGTCCCTCACACTCAAGATGGACAGTAGCAGAATAAGTTTCAAAATCAATCAATGATGTTGCCTGAGAGGAAACAAAAACACTCTTCTTCCTTGCTGCAGTAACATTTTAACTCACCGCTGTTCTCTCTCTCTGCTTCTTCTCGTGCACCAGGTGCCAAATATCGTGCAGGCATTATGTCTCTTTCAGGACGTGCCCTGTCATGTCTGAACATAGAGATTACCAGTTTAAAGTCAGCATTTAGCATCAAGAAAGTGTTCTTCATGATTTTGACTTATTCCAAAATGATGTACAGATAAAGCCACTCTGTGTCTCTGAGGTCTACATGCTCCACATCTAAATCTTGCTTGTTTTGTGATTTGAAATCTTAGCAGAAGAGAGATTCCTTCTTGACAGACAAACACAACTAGGGCTGTGCTATATGTGCGAACTATAAAGTAAGCTGAATGTCTGTGGGCAAGTCATTAAAATTACCTGACACAAACGTCACGGCTGAAACAGCTGGAGTACGTTAGTGTTGCGTTGCTCTTCCACACAACAGACTTCTGTCTTTGGTATGCACTCCTTGTTTTTGCTTGCATGGTCTGAGTCCTCCTGTTCATTATCCAGTTATGATTTGTGTGAATGCAAATTACTTCTCCGCAACACCGGCATGTGTGGAAGAACGGACCACGCTGTAAGTTAGTTTCAATTGGATATTAGTTTTACGTTGAATACTCATCAGCCGTCTTTCGAAAATCCAACGTAAAACTAACTTCACAGTGGTCATATCGTCATATCGCCCAGGCCTCAACACAACCATAGATTTTTCCTGTTCTGGTGTGGATTTTGAGTCATTCTTACACCTTTATGGCTTCATTTTAAGGTTCATGGTGTTAGCATGGACCACTGTGAAAGCTATATTTAACCAACAAATTATTGGTGGCACAATGCCATAAAAGTCCTATAAATTTACATATTACACACCAGAGGAGCTTCATCATTCCTTCTCAGCCTTCGTCTGTAGCACAATCCTCAATTGCTCTTACTGTTACTGTTACAGCTCCACACCTAAAGATATATTTTTTCATCTTACTATGTTAACAATGTTTTAAGTGCTTCAGAGTTCAGGAAAGGTTATGCTCAATCCCTTTTTTCTGTGTTCATGCATCTCTCGTCCACCTATCTACCGTTCTGTTTGATTATAGTCTGGTCAGCCTACGCAGCGCACCCGAGAATATCTCCAGCTAGTCTTTCCTGTATGCACCTGTCCCTCCATCCATCCTTTCATCTAAGCAGCAATTCCCCCATCACGTCTTGCCTTAAGTGCTTTAAGAAACCAGATAATACACCCAAGGATGTATTAGACCTTTCCTCTACACCTCATCTCTCATCATCTTAAGAGGGCCTTGATTAGAGCCCATTGATAATATCAACCTTTCTCTCCTTCTATTTCTAGCTATATTTCTGTAACCTCTCTCCTTCTCTCTCCACCCCACACACCCCCGTAATCTTTGCGTCTTTCCAATTTTTCCTCCCAGCCTGCTTCCTCCAGTTCCAGCTCCCTATCTGCGTTTGATTGCATGTAATGGCGATAAACTGAGTAGGCAAATTGGTACTATTCAGTACAGTTCAATCTAGCCCGGGCTGCTGATTTCTCATATCCATTTAAGGCCAGCTTTGATTGGCCTAATGGTCTGGAGGAGAGTTTACTCCAGTCAACCTTACTCCAAGGTGTCTTGTTTTAAATCTTAATGTTTGTCATCAGTTTGTTCACACATTTGACACACTCTATACCAAATACCACATAATGTTTCTATCTATGCCCCAGCTGCACAGTATTTCAAGTATCTTCACTTGTTGTTCCAAATTATACTGTAATTGCCAAAAATGCCTGATTACAATGTAGTTCTTCACATTAATGAAGAGAGGGTGTAGAAGTGTAGAAAGGTTCAATGCAATTACTGTAATGTTTCATTCACATTATTAACCCAGAAATTAAAGTGAGACTCTGAATGTTTGTTTGAAATGCCCTTTGAAGTGGACAGCTGGCTCTGTCATCTGAACTGCTGCCACCTGCCAATCAGATATGCCAATCATCTGTGTCTCTGTGTGTGTGTGTGTGTGTGTGTGTGTGTGTGTGTGCGCGTGCACGGTGGTAACCATCCAACCATCATGAATATTCATGTGGTGATAAAACATGATTGGTCACACAGTCAGATGGTCGTCATATAGTTGGCACATGGTGGCTGTGATTCTTCTTCAGATGCCGTGTGTGTGTGTCCAAGTTGTCTGCAGTTGTGTAACCCTTTGCTTACTCTCTGATCTGTGTGTCTTTTCTCTATCTTTGCTGAGATTGTTAAGGTTAATACTCAAACAAATCTGGCAGCCCGCTGAACATTATATTGCGCAAACACACACATACACACAAGTACCTACAACCATAACTTGATGCTCTACAAACATAATTTACACAGGTTGAGAGTACGGTTCTCCGAGCTGTTCTGTTGTCTGTGTGTTGTGTGTGTGTGTGTGTGTGTGTGTGAAGGGTTGTGAAAGGGAGGAGGGAGAGACACAGTCTGTACAAATGAAAATATGGTAATCTATTAGGTGAGACTGGTAATGTACAAGGTCTACCAGAAGCAAAGAGGGACAGGCGCTGCAGTTGCCAGTGCATCATGTTTATGTGGTTGTTGATGTGTGGTGCAAAGTGTGTGTGCATGATGTTCATTTTCAGATTTAAAAATTGTGTAAATTAATGAGAATCTGTGATAATAAATGCATGGTTGCCTGCTTGGTTGTAGTCGTGCATCGCCGTTCTCACTTCCATCTAGCCTCCGATGCTCTGTTTTATGTGTGCATATGTATGTCCATGTGCATATACAGTATTTTGCTGACTGGCAGCTGGATGATCTAC